TTAGTGTGTTTTACATATTTAATTAATTTAAATAAAAAACAGCAGTTTCTAAAAGAGGCAGTTATGGGTAGTTATTTTCTGGAAGTTGTATTAGTTAGTAATAGATGTGTTGATTAGTGTCAATAGTTGTGTTGGTTGATGTCAATAAATATTCCAGGAACATAGCATTCCTGTATGTAATTCACAATCAATAAAAATTCTATTCTGCATACCAATCTGTTCTTCCTATCAGTTTTCTAACATTAAGCTCATCAAATGTTATTGCACCGCTATTGTCGGTGTCCATGGACTTGAACATCTCAGTTAAACCAGCAATTTCCTCTTCTGATAGGCTTTCCGCAATCACCTAGAAGGACAAACATGAAAATGCAATCGGTATTTTGCATTATAACCATTATACAACCAAAACAAAACAAAACAAAAAATACAGTACATAATTATTTGAAGCCCTTGATGGTTGTGATGCCATTTGAAAATGGGGAAGAAAAAATATTAATTGCATTTAATAAGTTTTTTATACATACACGTAAGGCCATCTTCTTCAACTTGTTCATAGCTGAGAACTGTTTAAGGCGAGAAAGTACAGCTGGATCTAATGCCCTATCTGGAGCAACACCATTTTCACAAATCCAAGGGTGGCCTACATAGTATATAAATCTCGTTTGGCAACGACTACAACAAAAAATTCATTATCCATATTAAGGCTTGCGAAATTAGCCACCTATAACTCCATAAAGTGACCCTTAAAGCCTGTTTAGTAAGCACAAATTTGGTGAAATTTTTTAAATTGCTAAAATTGTGGATGATATTGGTAAAGTTGCTAAATTATGAAAGAAAATGTTTTAAAATATATTTTATTGATATAATAAAGCAAAAAGAGAAGTAATCAAACATAGAAAAACATACACAATACTTCATGGGCAGTTAAGCGCTCAGAAGGACGCATGCACAACATCTTTTGGATTAGATCCTTTGCACTGTCTGAAATTATGGGCCAAGGGTCTGATTCAAAATCGACGTCACCTTTCAAAACAGCATCAAATATCCCTTGCTGTGTTTCTGAAGAAGATATGCAGCATTAGTTAGGGCGCCTAGAAAAAAGAGAAAGCAGAGAATTGAAACTACTATTCTGCGTACTGATATGTTCATCAGTTCATCATACATACCGGCCCAAAAGGGTGGAACACCACTCAACAGTATATACAATATGACTCCTGCTGTCCAAACATCTGCTTCCGGACCATAGCTCTTCATAAGCACCTCAGGAGCAACATAATATGGACTTCCAACAACATCTGTGAAAATTTGGCCTGAAACGTACAAGATGAGTACACCATTAACCGCTAAACAAATTTTAGGTATTGATTCTCATATAGAAGAGGAAGCTTGCAATGACAACAAAGCAATGACATGAGAAAGACTAAAGAAACGCCATTGCAATTAAGAGGGACAATGATGCTACTCTGAAAATTACGTTTTCAGTAACAAAAGAAAAGGTTTGGAATGGTAATTAATCAATCATTACAAATCCACCAAACAGACACCACTAGCAACATTACATGATTCTCTTATGATGCTTGAAGTCATTAGGTGCCAATAAAGTTTCAAGCAACCACATAGTTAAGGAGAATATCAAATCAAAACATAAACAAAGGATATATAAAGAACCTGGCTTGAAGAAAACAGAAAGTCCAAAATCAATGGCTTTCAGTGAGAAATCATCATCCTTGTTAACCAATAAGAAGTTTTCTGGTTTGAGATCACGATGCATAACCCCAAGTGAGTGGCATGCCTCAACGACTCCCACGATTATCTTAGTCAACTCAGCAGCTTTTCTCTCACTGTAGTGGCCCCGTTCAATGATACGATCAAACAATTCACCCCCGCCACATAGTTCCATAACAATATGAACATACAAAAGGTCCTCATAAGCACCCTTGATGCTAACAATGTTCTTGTGACCAGCCAAATGATACATTATCTGAATTTCCCTCCTAACATCCTCAACATCTTCACTCGAAATCAACTTCCTCTTTGAAATAGACTTGCAGGCGTACTCCTTACCAGTAGAAATTTCGGTGCAGAGAAAAGTGGTACCGAATTGACCTTGCCCTAGTCGACGTCCCAACGTGTAGAGGTCACAAATGTTGGCAGTCTTGTGATCTAAAACACTGTAACTCATGATGCTTTCCTTTCTAGGATTGATGCTAGAAGAGAGCTGCTGGTCTTCTTTCGGGTCGGGTCGGGTGGTATCTGAAGTTTGATTGCCTGATGAATTGGTTTGGCCTGAGGAAGGGTTATGTTTGGAGCTGGAATGATCTTGGGGATGGGCGTATCTCAGAACCTGCTTCCCTCCTAAAAATCCGCGGCATGTATTGCCCATTAACCAAACACAGCTCAGCAAATTGACAGCTATAAGCCTATAACATCGCCCAATTTATTTAAAAAATTATGCTGGAAAATTCAAAAGATTGTAGAAATTAACGTTTAAAGCGTGCTGCAAGACTTTTCGTTTTAAAAAAAAAATAAATCAAAATCACCATAGAGTAAAACATTTTGACCGGAATAGAGAAAAACAGTAGCAATACACAGCAAAGTAAACATCAATTTGAAGATATTCCTTATTAGTAATCATGAATTCAAACAGTCATAGTCATAGGGGAAGCTTAGAGCAAATAAACACAGAAAATAAATGGCGATAGGTGACGATGATAAACACAATCAGATCTGGTAAAATACTCCGAACAGACGGGGAGATGATAGATAGTGAGTGAGATGATCTGACCCGGTGTGATTTGAACAAGTACGGAAAGATATCGAAATTAAGCGCGAGGAATGTTAGGTGGAGCACTGACCTGACGCGGCGGCTGTGGCGGCGCCGGCGACGACGACTGGGAGGATGAGGAGAGGAGAAGAATGAATGAATGATCACCAATTCATCATTACTTCGCCTTCTTTTCGGGGTCTGAATATATATGAGGACAATGATATGCGTCTTTCACATCATCGAAGTGTTCTTCTCACTATAATTTATGGATTAATTATAAATAATAAAAAAAACCATAGGCGATGATCTCCCGCCTCCGGTTTTGTCAACTCCTGGTCATCCACCACATCATTCACATGCTACAATTTCTGGTCAAAACAATTTCTCTACAAAACTGAGTGTATCATCTTTGGCCCTATTTGGCGCGATTACCACGGTAGGCAATGTTATAAGATAATTAGGGGTGTTTGGATATCCCATTTTTAAAATCGATGATTTTCATTCTCTCTGACTATAAGGTAAATCCACCCACCCCAGCCTAAAACATCCCCAACCCGTCAATTTTCCGAAGGGGCATCGGAGGGCTCCTGCGTCATGATATAGGGTCCGATGTTATGGGAACCCCACTCTTAACGTTTTCATGAAGTTATCTAGCGATAGTTGTTTGGGTAAATTTTTTATAAATTAATCTACATTATTAAAATTTTATTTATAATATTTACGTTAATCGAAAATGTTGTTTCTAAAAAATCTAAATATTTAATCAACTAGTTAAATACTCTTTCCGTCCACAAATAAACTTCTCATTGCGCGTTACGATGTTTGGCTGAAGTTATTTTCAAATCATTTCATACTTCGTATGAAAAATGGTGTAAAATTTAAAAATAAAAATTACATATTTAAAAACTATATCAAAAAATCTACTCGGAGTACAAAACTAGAGGTGACATGACTATATTATTTTATCAAATGGGTAACGAAAATAGGTCGACAAAGTAAATAAAGTTTAACCATGTGAATAGTGAACGGGATGTTTATTTGTGGACGGAGGGAGTATTACTTTGTACAATTGTGTTACCTTTTATATTCCATTATTTGAACGATGTGTAAAATTTTATATTTTTATATTAATTATATTTACAAATTGGTATAAAATTATAATTTATATATTAAAAACTACTTCTCTTGTCCAAAAAATTATCTTTAACATTGCGCGTTACGATATTTGACTGAATTTATTTTTAAATCAAAATATATGAAAAATGGTGTATAATTTTAAAAATAAAAATTATATTTTTAAAAATTAGTATATAAAAAGATCTACAAGACTGTAGGTGACATGGTTATATTATTTTATCAAATAAACCAACAAAGTAATTAAAGTTTGACCCCATAAATAATAAACATGAAGATAATTTTTTGATGGAGGGAGTATGTCATAAGTTTTACAAAAGTTATTGAAAAATTGTAAAGGTAACATTGTAAATTATTTTAGGACAGATGAAGTATAATTTTATTTTAAAATTTTAAATATATAAATATAAATTTACCATATTTTTAATTACACTAATCTCTAAATAATACTCCCCCATCCCAAAATAGGTATAACTGTCACTATTACACCATCTCGATAATTTATATTTAAAATTATACCAATATCTAAATAACACTTTCTCTTAATTTATACTCAGTAATTTTAAATTATATTCTAATTTATAATTAAAACAATTTTAAAAATAATTTAAGTTTATACATTATTCAGAGTGTGACATCTAACATATGAGGAAAAGTATGAATGTAAAATGACTACAATCGAAATTTGTAAACCATTATAGGAAGTATTTCGAGGGATAAAGTACATTCCTCATAGGGGATTAGTGGGTGATGTCGTCACTCCAACTTTCTTTTACTCCCTCCGTCCCAATTTATTTGCAACACTTCGAACGACGTGCAAAATATCTTCTCTTTTAAAATCACTTTAATTTCAAATTGGTAGAGTAATTAAAAGTAAAAATTACACCATTCAAAAGTATATGAAAAGCTCTACAAGATGCGACAAGAATATTTTATTTTATCAAATGGTCAACCAAAACGAGTAAACAAACAAAAGTTATCGAGAGGCCAGAATAGTAAACGTGACATTCTTTCTGGGACGGAGGGAGTATATCACTCCAAAATTTGCTCCGTCCGAAAAAAATTGTTACACTTTGATTTTTTTGGTTAAACTCTGGCACTATATGATGAATGTCATCCTCCCTCTATCTCCAACTTTATACTCTCTATCCACGAGTATCCATCCATCCCCGAGCTCTCAGCAACACATGAGTACTTACGATTTTCATAGAGTCTGGCATCTGACGACTGTTAATATGACCTCTGCCTTGTTTGTTGTTGAGAGCTCGGGAATGGCAATGTAGTACAAATTGTAATGCATCGAACAATTCCACGCTGGCATCTGAAGTTAAATCCAGTGAAAAGTGCTGAAACAGTGACTGCCCGGCAAAGAGCAATTCATGGGTGTCATATCATGACACCCATGAGTGGTATCAAAATAACCCTACTCTTAAATGATATACCTGGAAGTTACAAGCGGCATTGGCAGATCCAAAATATAATTTCCCCCACAGCAACTGTTCAATAGCTCAGCTGAATTGACAAGGAGTCGGAAATGGCACAAGAACAAATGATCCCCCCCCACCCCCAAGCTGTAGATCCATCAAAGATCAGTGATGTCGCTCTTGTTCATATTCAGTAGAGGTGAAAATGCCAATGGCTTGAGGATAAGTTGGAAATCAAAACCATTCAACACATTTAGACGTGACCGCTCATAACTGCTTCGACTGGTGTAAGGTTGAAATAAAAATAAACCAGTTCAGTTGTGAAGTGAATTCCAGCATATTGAACACAATCACATTCTCACCCTAAAGCCAATGTCATTAGAAATGTTTGAGGACCTCATCCTGAATGTCCTTGGCAGTTGGAGACTTGGAGAGTAATCAGAGTATAAATAATAGTGCTTCTGAATAAGAACACCACTGCACATAGCAAAGAGATAGGAAAAATATACCACATTTTGTTCGTTCTAGAGAGGAATGATGTGTCCTGGGAACACTGCATACAGATAACAATACCAGGTCATCTGAAACAGAGACAGGTAGCCATGAGAATGAAAGTGAAAGTTCTATGTTCCCAATTTGAAAGATCAGATAGGGAAAACCAGGAAAATAATAAGATAATTCTACTAAAAACTACTTAACACTGTTAACAGAGGATTTCTATAAAATTGTCTCTAGAAGCCAACAATAGAGAATCTCTAGTTAAAAATAAAAAATATGTTTGTCTATGAATATCCTAGGCATAAATAAGCTAGGATATTTATAAAAACAAAAGGCAACGGAAATAAAATTTGAAATCCATACAACGAAGGAACTAACTCAAAACAAGTCAACTAAAAATATGGTCCAGTTATTTGTCAATAAATTCCTAAAACACTTAAATGAAATATCTCAGAAATAGAATAGTCACGTCAGCCTCCTAGTTAAAGGAAATTAGAACAAGAATTTTGAGCTAAAGAGATATATTAAAACCTTTCTACAGTTGCACACAATATTAGCTTTCAAATACTCCTTCATATGCTTAAAAATAAAGGAAAGAATCAAAAAACATGAAACTTACTCTTTTAAGTTAAGCCGAGCGTTTTGGACTTTAACTGACAGCTTTAACTTCTGATCCTCCATATCTTTCAGAACAGCAAGCAGATTTGAGCGGTATACTTCACATCGCCCATTTATGCTCTCTAACTCAGTTGTCAACTCATGGATTTTCCTTTGCTTCTCACTCAGCTGCCAAAGTGAAACCATGAATTAATGTTAGGGG